AGTCTTGTTCCATTGGCAACATTTATCTTTTATTTCCTCAATCCAAGAACAAATGCACTTATTTTAATTACTTATCTGGATTTAGATTTTTTCCCGTGTGGGAAAGGACCTCAGGGCGGATTCGAACCCGGGTCGCCTGTGTGCGCTAACCACTGCGCCACCAAAGGATATCAGGATATATTCTTCATGTTTGGCCACAAAGCTCACTTTGAATATGTTAATTTTATGAATTTATGAAGCTATAAGGTAAATTAGTGAGGATCCCATGACATAGATTGAAATTCCTGATATGTTTCCATTTCCAGCATGTGAGCAGAACAGCATCAAACCAAGTCATTATGGACAGCTGCCTTATTTAGTCTGGCTCCGTCACACTGGGCTGCTTGAACACCTGGACCATTAACCTTTAACATCGCTAGAGTTAAAAGGCGAAGGGTCTGTCCAGATGGTCATAGGCTGGAAGGGAGGCCCCAGAAACCCCAGGAGGTGTTGCATTTCCCAGCTGACCATCCCTGTGGCTCAGGGTTCCCCAGGAGGAAACACAAAGACCAGAGCTGCCTCAATCAATTGCGATAAACATTTATATGTCCTGTTAAATTAGATATTGGACAAGATTTGTTTTTTTTTTTTGCTTATTTACCAAACTGGTTCAATAAAAACAGTTAACATTCATAGGCGTTACAGAGAAGCATTTCTGACAAAAAAAAAAAACACATCTAATATGAACAAAAGGTTGGTAATTGACACCACAAACAATATCAGGGAAAAATGGGAATTAGAATTAAATGTTATAATTGAAGATTCTATATGGGTGAATATATGCATGTGCTGCCATAGTTGAATTACCAGCAAACTATGGAAAGAATCTGAGTTAAAAGTGAAGATTGGATCCTTTTATACTCCCTTTATCATCTCATCATTTGTGACAAATCCCAGTGTAGCACTATGTTGGTGACATTGTGGATATTAGAGACACCACACACATTTTTTGGGATTGTCCAGTAATCAAGGATTTTGAGACAATATTTAAAAGGAAATAGAGGGAATATTAAAAGTAAATGTGACTCCTGAACCTGTGGTGTTTTTATTAGGAGCCATATCTAAAAACAGATATAATGCAGATCAGAGATATATTCTGAGGAGCAAAGAAAATGATGACCACCAGTGGCATCATCACAAGTCATCACACCAGTATATTTGCATGAATGCCAACAACAAAAAACATAAAAACTGTCTATAACTGTCTTAGACTGCTGGAGGACATAGGGACCCCTTTTTCATCATTCTGCTTCATTCTATCTCTATTCTCCCACTCTG